AAAAAAAAAAAAAAAAAAAAAAAAAAAAAAAAAAAAAAAAAACCTCTGCAAAAATTATTTAAAGCTGCTGAAAGCATTTTAAAAACCGTAAAAAAGAATAAATCTCTGTACACAACAAATATTAATCAGAGTGCAGCCAGAGTGCATGCGTCACTCAGAAAACAAGGAGCTGGCCTCCTGCCACTTTAAATGACACTTAATCAAAACCCTTTCAATATGCTGTCATAATAAGGAAAAGCTAATGACTAAATATGACAGTAACAGAGATGTCTGCCATTCTGCTAATAACAGAATTCAAATTCTGTGGAAACCCGTTGTGCTTTTCTGCAGAATCCTGTAGTTGCAGGGCTACACAAGAACAATGACATCACAAAGATGACACTAAATTAAGTGGTCTCACAGGACAGGACGCTCAGCAGAACAGCCAGAGGAGGATCTGAAAGACGGCACAGGACAGATTGTTCTTTATCTAACAAACATTCCTAAAAACACCTTCACAGCATGTTTTCTGAAAAAACCTTTCTGCCTCTCATGCACAAACACAACAGTCCTGATAGAGTAGTTTTTCCACTTGCCCTCTATCGCATACAATACCTACCTCAAGGTTGCCTGGAACACAAGCCCATCTTCATCTATAATTCAGCAGTTCCTGCATCCCCCACAGAGGCGCTATAGTCATGATAAAGACCCCCTGCCGCTAACTCAAGGGCAGGTGTGCTAAAGAGAAGACATCTGAATCCAGATGATCAGTGCAGACCCCAGGGGCCGTCGCTAAACCCGGCGCTAGCGGTCAACAAGGTGTTTCACAATGTTAAAACAATAGACTGAAATGAAGGAGCTGGCCTCCTGCCACTTTAAATGACACTTAATCAAAACCCTTTCAATATGCTGTCATAATAAGGAAAAGCTAATGACTAAATATGACAGTAACAGAGATGTCTGCCATTCTGCTAATAACAGAATTCAAATTCTGTGGAAACCCGTTGTGCTTTTCTGCAGAATCCTGTAGTTGCAGGGCTACACAAGAACAATGACATCACAAAGATGACACTAAATTAAGTGGTCTCACAGGACAGGACGCTCAGCAGAACAGCCAGAGGAGGATCTGAAAGACGGCACAGGACAGATTGTTCTTTATCTAACAAACATTCCTAAAAACACCTTCACAGCATGTTTTCTGAAAAAACCTTTCTGCCTCTCATGCACAAACACAACAGTCCTGATAGAGTAGTTTTTCCACTTGCCCTCTATCGCATACAATACCTACCTCAAGGTTGCCTGGAACACAAGCCCATCTTCATCTATAATTCAGCAGTTCCTGCATCCCCCACAGAGGCGCTATAGTCATGATAAAGACCCCCTGCCGCTAACTCAAGGGCAGGTGTGCTAAAGAGAAGACATCTGAATCCAGATGATCAGTGCAGACCCCAGGGGCCGCCGCTAAACGCGGCGCTAGCGGTCAACAAGGTGTTTCACAATGTTAAAACAATAGACTGAAATTAATATTTTTAGCCAAATCTAATCGCTCATATTCTGCTTCATTTAACAGCCTGTTCAGAGGGTTAAGCAACTTGAAAGCATGCAAATTTACATTTTTCCAGTTGGATGCCACAATTTTTATTAGTTTAATAATTTAAATGACTATAATATATATAGTGTGATAAGCTGTGTAATGAGAAAAATATATCACTCTTCAGTTTATCTAAATGTAATGGAATAAGCTGAAAATAAAGACATTTATGATCATGCTTACATATAACCTGCACACTTTTTTCTAGATTTACGCACGCACGCACACACCTAACAAAAAAACAAACTCAAACAAAACAAAAAAAATTAAGCAAAACAAAAAACAAAAATGAAACTATTAAAATGTGTTAAACAAAACACACACACACACACACACACACACGTAACAAAAAACTAACTCAAAAACAAAACACAAACCAAAACAAACCATAAATGAACCAAAAAAAAACAACAACTATTCAAAACAGTATTTTAAAAAAATACTGTACAAGGCTTAAATAGATGTTATGAGAAACCACAAATACATATACTTATTTTATAATATGTAAAATAATTAACCACAGAACACTTACAGATATCCTAATCTCCTGTTACATGTTGTGCAAGGGAAATGTTTAGGAGCTTTACATGAATAATCCTTTTGGGAACATTTGCTAGATTTGTGCTATTGTGTGAGCTTTGCACGCTCTGGTACGCAACTTCACTTTCTACAGTCAGTGAAATGTGGCAGAAATAATCATGTAAGCAGTTATTAATCCTTGCCATGCTTGAAGCTCAAAACATATTTTTGTTGCAAAGTACAGATCATGAGACACAGGACTCAAACAGCACTTACTGTAAACGTACGGGTAACTAACTGTAAACTAACAACCCACAGGTTAACAGGGAAATGTAATAAAACCTCAGTGCAACAAAATAGAGTTTAAACATTAAGGAGCTGCTTAATCACACTGTACTTTGGCTACTTTTACACTCAGGTTAGAGGTGAGGGTGTCATTTTCTGTGCCAATAATAGCACCAAAGAGAATGGGGGGGGGATTATAAAATTATATATATATATATATATATATATATATATATATATAACAAATGAAAAAAACATTTTATAATAATTTTATTTGTATTTTTTTGATTATTTAAATAAGATTAAGATTTTTTTTAAATGTAAATTATTAAATGACAATGGAATTGCACAATTAACTCATAAGCAATCAGTACACTGTTCAGGCAGTAAATATGGGCAAGGAACTAGAAATGAAAACAACATTTTTATGGCTTGATAAAGCCGTTCTTGGTGGTTGACATTTCTTTCTTCACTGAAGCTGTGTGCAGTCTGGCTGACACAGGAAACTTGGGCCTCCGTTCACACTAACTTGGTAAAGCAGAAAAGGCTTGAAAAAAGATAGCATCTAATGGCCCATCTACATCAAAGCAATTAAGCATATGAAAGCCTTTCTGACTGACAGCATCCTTTGCATAATCAGCCTCTGCCAAAAAGACCATGGAAACAATAGTGGAGGCTACACAAAACCAAAGCTAGCTCATCATCCAGTCATCTGATTAACATTAGTGTGAGAAAATACTGCAATGAATGCCCTTCATAACTGACAATGTGTGTATTTGTATTATATTCTGACTGAGGAAGGAGTCAATAGCTATCAACACAACTCTATTGTAAAATGGAGACAGCTGCAGCTTCCAAAGCGGTCACGTCATATGATCCAAGAACAGTGACATGAAGGATGAGAAGCATCTTATAACTGTTTGTTACTGGCTACTATACCAACATCTCAAGATTCATGCTACTCAAGATCACTGCTTAAGAGCTCTTTGGACTTAACTTTATGATCAGAACTGTTAATAAGCCGTTTTCTGGAATACTTGATTGGCATTGGGCAGTGAAATATGGCCATTAAAATGTATTTAGTTACAATTATTATATATA